AGTTGCAGATGTGGCAAATGGTTCCAGGAGAAAGGAGTGGGTCCTTCCTGGTAATGCTGGATCACAGCTCTTTCCCTTTGTCACTCTTAATTATCCACTTCCATATTGAAGGGAATTTGCTCAGTGATTTATACCTTGTCCTATATCGCAGTGCCATTAGAAGTGATTCAATGCTCAAGTCTCCCACAAGTTGATGTTAATATCACATTTCTTCAAATTGGCCTTCAAGGTGTTCTTGAATCTCTCTCCTGCCCACCTCTATAATAAGGACCATTGGCAGGTGGAGAGTATAGGACCTGTTTTGAGAACCAGTTGTCAGGGATCCTTAAGATGCATCTTGTCCAGTACAGCAGGTGCCATATAAACATGGCTTCAGTGCTGGTAGTTTGCTTGAGCCAGCATGCTGGCATTTGTTCTTCTGTCCTTCAGAAAATATGGAGGATTGGCTTGTGGTAAATGTCCCAAAGCTTTCGGGTGTTTCCAGTATGTCATCCAGGTTTCACATCCATACAACAGGGTAGGAATGACAACAAATATGGAAGACAAGAAGTTTTGTTTGGGTCCAGACAGGAGTTTGGAGATTTCTAAAGGCAGCATGGGCATACTTTATCAGACGTTGAATATCGTTGTCTATATTTACTTTTTGGGAAAGATTGCTACCCAGGTAGGGGATACTGTCAGCGTTCTCCAAGGACTGTCCTCTTACTGTAATATGTGGAGAAGCAGTTGGTTGGCTTGGGATGGGTTGGTAAAGTATCTTGATTGTTATGAAATTGACAGTGAGCCCAAGCACTTCATCTGCTTCACAGAAGCAACCAGGAGTGAGCTGGAGCTCTTCAATTAAGTGGGCACATATGACACAATCATCAGTATATTCAAGATCAGTAATGGAGGTGTTAGTTATCTTGAATTTGGAACATAAACTGGTTGATGTTAAAGAGATTCCCCATCCATGTGATACTGGATGCCAACCCCAGATGGAAGCTTACCACCAATGAGATGTGGAACAGCTGCAATATAGATGGAAAAGAGTACTGGCACAGTCACACATCCTTGCTCAACTCCAGTTCTAATAAGGAAGAGGTCTGTTTCTCAACCATGGCTTAGGACAGCTACTATCATGTCATCAAGAAGGAATTTAATAATGGTAACAAATTTTAACAGCTATCCAAATCTCATCAGGATCTTCCATAGGGCCACTTTGTTGATTGAATCAAAGATCAATGAAAGCCGTGTAAAGATCTCGGTGTTGTTTTCCTAAAATTATCTGACAAAAAAGATTATATTTATCATACCTCCGAGTGCTCTGAAACCACTTTGGGACCGAGAGAGAATCTCTGCAGTGAGAAAAGTGAGTCTATTGGAGTGAATATGGACAAGGATCTTCCCAGCTATGGACAGGAATGCAGTACCATGATAATTGCTGCAATCTAACCCATCTCCTTTCTTGAATATGGTAACGATTCTGGCATCTCTCAATTCACTGGGAATCTGGTTTGTGTGTCTAGTTTTCAGAATAACAACAGATAATTGGCAAGACTTTCTTTCCATCTTGCTTATAAATTTCAGCTGATACTCCATTAGGACCACATGCTTTGCTGTTTTTCATCTGGCCTCTTGGCAACTTGGTTCATCTGTAGGGTAGTCCTTAATAGGGTGTTGGTGAATGACTTTGATGGTGGTGTCTGCAATGTTCAAATCTTGGTTCAAGAGCTCTTGAAAGTGCTTTCAAGCACTTGATATTGAAACTCTTCCTTGATAGCTTCTTGTGTTTACATAATTTTGGGGCAAGGCAAATAGACATGATAGACTGTATCAGACAATGATCCATCCAGCAGTCATCTGCACTGGTCATAGCTCTGGTGATACAGACGTTGTCATGGGCCTGGACAAACACTACGATGCAACCAATCAGGTGCCAGTGTTTTGAATGGGTGCATGCCCAGTGTCTTCACTTGTTCTCTGATCGTAAACATTGTCCTTTGGTCCAAAGGACAATGCTCATGGTCAGAGAAGGAGGCACCTAGGGGGAGAAATCCCAAGACAGGACTCTTAAGACAGCCCCGCTAAACATCCACTGGAGCCATCTAGCCAGTCAGCCTGCTCATTCTTGCTGTAGGGGTTAAATCAGTATTATCTTCTCTTGGACACTGCATCAGCTTGTACAGGCAGCAGTAGTGCAAAGAGCTGCATGTAAGCTGCAGTTAGGCAGCGAGGCCTGTAGCTCCTGAGCCCATATATCAAAAAAGATGAAGTTTCATGGGTTTGGTGTCTTCCCTATGCCCCCCCTTCCACAAGCACATGGGTTCTACACACGGGGAACAATTTTTTATCCTACATTATTCCAATAAATAACTGATACTACTTCTCAGGTTAGCTTTTTTGATCATACTCAGATGTAGGCAATTTCTGGACAGAAAAGGAGTATAAGCTCCCAGGTCCAATAAGGAAGCAAGTCCTGCTTCTCTCCAGGACTCAATTACTAATTCACTTTTCTCAAATCAAGCTAAGTAATCCTTGGTTTCACCCTTAACTGATAGCTACCACCAGGGGGAGCATATGAGGAGGTCTAACTCTTGATGCAAGCAGACAGGATTTCAATGAAAGCAGAAGGCTAGTGAGAGCTTTGGAAAATGCTACTTCTCATTCATTTAAATAAAGGAACTCAACATTTGTTTAAACACATCCTTCACAGTAAGCACCTTTTACCACAACTACATAGCCAGTATTTGGTTTTAACTGAGAATATATGAACACTTCCCTGAGGATGATTTATATACACATTGGCCTAAACATTCATTCTACAGCCAAAAAGATGTTAGTGTTGTAAGGATCAGTACAATTCAGCCATCACGAGGAAGTAATGAAAAAGGTCATGGGACTGCAAAGGACTTGCTTCCTGTCTGGATTAACTTCCTGGCAACCTTTAAACTGTCATTTTGAATAAGTCTTAAAAATCAGAAACAGCTATGCTATGCTGTTTCTGAAGCAAACAACTAAAAAAAAAAAAAAAAAAAAA